TTAAATTCTTACGAGCTGTATGACGAGCTGTAGAATTTTTTACTGTGTAGTGAATTACCTCTCTCTGCTGATACTAAGCTTATCAATCCAGTAATCAAGCTGACCAGCAACACATTCAGAACCTGTGGAGCCATATGACCTGAATTTTTTAATTGAATTTTCGACCCCTAGATATTCGTAGACATCCTTGTCAAATATCGGATGTAGACTGTTCAACTCGTCAAGGCTAAGGTCTTGAAGCTCACAGTTTCTGGAAACACACAAAGCGACAGACCTCCCGACTATGTCATGAGAAGTTCTGAAAGGTATTCCCTGCAAGAAAATATCACAATTTCATCATTATTAAGACATTACCACATTTAAAAAGATTTAGTTCTTGAAGTAAGTGATCACTTGTGCAACAAACTTGGAATGAACCAAGAGGTTCTAACTACAAGTTTATTAGTCAACCCAGAGGTGTGTACTAATTTGTAAAGCCGTGGGGGGGGGGGGGGTCAAGTGACGTAGTTCTCACATCTGTTGACGTAAATCCCAGTTTTCAAAGATAAAATCACTTGCCTTTTTCACAAGGTAATCAGCGAGTGTAGTGGCATCAAGATGACCAGCTGGTAGTGCTTTTTGTATCCTCTCTCGGTTAAAGGAAACATTCTGTGCAAACTCTGCTGAGACTTCAAGCATCCCAACTATTGCCTTCACACTATCAAATACGGGCTCCTTATCTTCCTATTTAATATAAAAACGAGGTTCAATATATAAGACTTAAAATAATGCAGAGACCGAAAATGTTGATAAAGATAGTGAAGCAGAAAAAATATCGGAACTAATTGGGGTCGCCTTGCTGTTAAGCAGTTAATGAAAATGTATATATGTGTGCAGAGGGAAGGGTGGTGAATTTCCTCGGAAGGAAGTGAATTAACTGATAAAGCATCTCTTTAGAGCATTTAGACTACTGTTGATTTATAGGCTTTCCAGGAAAATAACTATAACCTGCAAATCGCGATTGTAAGCATGAGGAAGTCCCTTGCACAACACAAGAAGTGAAACTAAGTCCCCTATGACTCTAGCAGATTTTCCACGAACAAGCTCCATTGGATCTGGATTCTTCTTTTGGGGCATTATACTGCTTCCAGTGGAAACTTTATCACTAGGGGTTAAGAAACCAAATTCTTCGGATGCCCACAATACCCATTCTTCACCCAGGCGAGAGAGATGAACAGCAGTGATAGAATTAGCAGAAAGTAACTCCAGCACAAAATCTCGATCTGAAACTGCATCAATGCTATTGCATATAAACATTGTCACCATGATTGAAAAGGCCATATGTAATTGCCAGAAGAAATTAATGCAAATGCAGATTAATTACACATAAAGTGATACTACTATACATGATATCAGAGGGTAAAAGCAAATGATTACAACAGAAGCATGAGACAAGACTGTAACATTAAGGATTTCTTCTTCCAATTCACCCTTTTTATAAAATGAGACTAGTAGCAAAATAGTATTTTTCTTCCAAATAATATTCAGTGAACACACAATCATTAGTTTACAGACATCAATTAGCTTGAGAGTCGAGACTTAAGATCATCAGAGCCAAATTTGGAGGAAATATGTTTCTATGAGTTAGGCTATGCTATGATTTTGTAGTTCTCTTCACGGTTATTAATACAAAAGTTGGTTATTTACCCCAAAAAGGTTATATCTTGATTCACTAAAAACAAGAAGTAGCACAATACACCTTCTCCTCACAACCCTTTCTAAAGAAAACTAAAGAAAACAAAACCACAGTCTGTTGCAAGTTCGATTTGTATTAAGAATATAATTAGATGAAATTACTTGTCATTAGTACCTGTTCCTCATGGGAGCAGTAAATCCCAATGCATCAGACGTCATAAACCTATCAATGGGAAGACCAGTGCCAGCTAATGCACATGCACCTAGAGGGCAGAAATTCACCCTTGCTCTGCAATCTAATAAGCGACCAGCATCACGCTCAAGCTGCAAAGAAATAATTCTTTTTCCGTCAGCAACATATAGGTTTAATATTCTTAAGCTCTAGCACAGCCCAATGAAGCCACTAAACTAGCAGAAAGGGACAATTGGGATCCAAAGCCAAGAAGAACATGATTGCTAGATGATAAGATGACAAAAAGATAAAGTGAGTGCAGAAAGAAGTGAGAAAGCAAAGTTCTTTCTAAATATTCAAATAAACAAAAACAAACAAATGAATAAAAGGAAATATATAGAAGGAAGAACGGAAAAGGAACCAACAAAAACTATGGTCGAAACAATATGCATAATGCACATCAAGAGAAAACCAGATACTCCTTTCACAGAAATTACATTGTGTAATTATATTGAGCATCTAAATGCAACAACCAAGTTACAGCTGCACTTCCGAATAGAGCAAAGAGTCATTCAACAGACAAATATGAGAAAATGCTCTATCTGGAAAAGTCATTGCAAATGTTTTCTATTGAAAAATCTAATACCCCTTAAGTAAGATAATTAAAATGGACAAGTTTCTACTAACTAAACATACTAGAGGTCGGTGAGATAAGAAGACATTGAATTTCAAGGAAAAGGTATGTAAAAGCTTGTGGTATTGTTTGAGGCTCCACTTGTCACTCTTTTGATGCATAAACGAGTGTTTCAAGTGATCTTCACTTCATCATGCTTCATGTGATAATAAAATGATGTACAAGTGTGGGAAGGAGGTAGCAGGAACCCGGTACAATAGTCCAGGTGTGCCCAAGCTGACTAGACATCACCAGTAAAATTATATAAAAAAAATGATATGTTAAGTATAGAACATTAATCAATGAAGTCAGCCAAATTCTGCTAACCTGTTCAACATATGCTAAGAGAAGGTGTTGCAACAGAACAGGTTGGGCCCTTTGCAGATGAGTGTATCCAGGAACAATAAGATCCTCATTTTGGAGAGCTAATTCAACCATTGCAATCTGCAGGTTATGTTGCAATAAACGAATGAGTGCATAATAACCTTTAAGCAACACACAAATTGATCAACTTTGCTCCGACTTCACAATTTTATCCCATAATATGAAAAACACGATACACTATATTCATGTTAGCTGATCAAATACAGGAAAAAAGTGGATATTGCATTGAACTTCCAAACGATGATAACACAAAACAAAAAGCAAATGACCTGAAGATTCTTAATGCATGAAATGATTCCGTCAATAGCATCACGACACCACAAGCGAAAATCAGTTGCAACCTGATCATTTCTACTCCGGGCAGTGTGAAGCTTTTTGGCAGGTTCACCAACCAAATCAGTAAGTGCTGCTTCAATATTCATATGCACATCCTCTCTATCTGTTCTCCATACAAATTCACCTGCCTCAATTTGCCTCTCTATCTCTTCAAGACCTTTTATGATAGTATCTCTATCAATATCACTCATCAATCCCTGCAACATTATTGCAAATTCACATACATTAGAAACACCCTTTATCCTCATTAGAACAAAATGTCACAATTTAAACTGCTAATACTGATTGTTTGTAAATATAAGAAAACCCCTTAATGAAAAGAACCAATCTTGGCAATACCCAGAAACGAAAAACGTATAAATTAACCTGTTTAGCAAGCATTGAAGCATGAGCTTTACTACCCATGATATCCTGTTTATAGAGAGCTTTATCAAACGAAATGGACTCAGTGAACTTCTCCACAGCATCGGTAACGCTCTCTTCGAAACGGCCACCCCATAGCTTCACTTCCTTTTCCGCCGTCGTCGCCGCCGTAGAGGGTGGTGAATTCATCTGCTGCGCTGCACAGGTGAACAATACTAAACGAGCATTGGAGTTGAAAGAGAGGCTTTGGGGTTTAGGAGTAAGGGCGTGTTTGGATGAAGAGAAAATGGGGGAAGTTGTCAAAGAAGAAGATGAAGAAATTAACAGTGACTCCATTGACGGCGAACAAATATCTGTGAAGAAGATGAAGACGAAGGGTAGAATTATATGTATTAAGTAATTGCATTTTGCACCCTTAAAGTATATACTTTTGCCTTTATTTGCATCTCTTTTTCTTTCCTTTTTTTTTCTCAAAAAAAAAAATGAAATTAATAAGACATTTGATTATATAAAAAGATAAATTTTATTTTGGAGTGAAATTATATTTTTGTATTCGATCATTAATATAAATTGAAACAACTTTTTATATCTTATGATTAAGTGTTTTTCAAGTTTTACTTAAATATATATAAAACAAATAATAGTCAAAATACTCCCTTCGTCTAAAAAATGATGACGTAGTTTGACTTGGAATAGAGTTAAAAGAAAAGAAAGAAGATTTTTTAATTTTCTGATTCTAAATTAAAGTTATGTCAGATATACCAAAATGTCGTTTAATCTTGTGACTTTAAACATGTTAGGTGGAAAATAAAAATTAAAATGTTATAAAAAAATCATATTTTCGATAGACTTAAAAGGAAATAAAGATATTTTTTAAAACGGACGGAGTAATAGTATATACTAGAATAGAAGTATATATACATAGAAGTTTTGTAATATAACTTTTAACTAGATTAAAATTAATAAATGGAGTCCAATGATAATATTATAAAATGGAATCTATATGACAAAAAATAGACGCAGTGAATATGTTTTTAGTTCGATTTATTCATGTCTAATAAACTTCAAATAAAAGGAGAAACATGTAAGATATAAACCCAAACTTTTTGCCGTATAGATTATAAGTTCTATATCCATCTTTTTAAATAAATTTCAACTAAAAGGAAAAACTTATGAAACCTAAACTAAATTCTTTGCCTTAGTCGATATAAGTCCTATAAAAGTTAAGATACATAACTTACTATATCTTTAAAATACAACGTGAAAATATAAGTTTATTTACCTAAATCAATCTTTTTAAATGTTATATTCATGTTATATCGGAGCTTACAATAGCAAATCATATGAGAATAACAAACAAAATTATTATAAATAATATAATATTATAGTTTGATCGAAAAAACATAACTTTGTTTCTTTTTCGAGTTCCGACTCCATATTGAGCATAGGTCGTTATGTCAATTTTCTTCCTTTCATGTCAGCCAATTCTCTAAGGAAATTACTCAGCAAGTTTGAGTCCCTCTTCACCATACCATTTGACTTGTCTACTTCTGCCATTGCTGACCACCCATTCCTCCATTTTACCCATCTTTTAAGCTCATGTCATTCCCTCCCAGCCCTCAAACAGTTGCACACTCTGGTCTTGACAACTGGTTACCACAAAAACCTCCTAATATGCACAAAGATTGTATCTTTAGCTTGTTTTTTATCGCCCACAATGGACTATGCACGAAAACTGTTCGACCAAATGCCTCAAAGAGATGTCTTTGCTTGGAACACCTTGATTCGGGGATATTCCAATCTGGGTCCTTGTCAAGAATCCATCTTTCTTTATAAAGAGTTGCATTTACAGGGAGTTTTGCCTGATAACTATACATTCCCTTTTGTACTTCGTTCTTGCTCTGTGTTGTCAGCTTTGAAGGAAGGTAGGGAAATACATTGTAACATAATTAAACATGGGTTTGAATCTGATGTGTTTGTGCAGAGTTCTTTGATTAGTCTGTATGCGCAGAGCGGGGAGACGTTGGATTCGGAGTTGGTGTTTGATCAAATGAGAGTGAGGAATATAGTTTCTTGGACTGCGATGATTGCAGGGTATGTGCAAAATGGAATTCATGAGAAGGGATTAGGAGTTTTTCTCAAAATGGTTGATTCGGGTACTCTACCGAATGCTATTACTTTGGTGAGTGTGCTTCCTGCTTGTGCACGGTTGGATTGTTTGGATTTGGGAATGTTGATTCATGGATATAGTATTAAGTTAGGGGTGGAAACAGATGTTTCACTAGTTAATGCTTTGGTTGCATTCTATGGGAAGTGTGGACTAGTTGATGTCGCTTGGTCTTTGTTTGATCAAATGAAGGAGCATAGTGTGGTTTCATGGAATGCAATAATTGCTGCTTATGAGCAAAATGATGTTTCCTCCACAATAAAGCTATTTCATAGAATGCTAGATCAAGGGGTAGAGTTCGATTATATTACAGTAGTTACTGTTATTTCAGCTTGTGCCAGGTTGGGGGCTCTAGGTACTGGAAAATGGATTCATGAGCTTGTCAAAAGCAGAGGTTTAGAATGGAATGTTCCAATCACAAATGCACTAATCGATATGTATGCAAAATGTGGGAGTATAGAATCGGCAAGAGATGTTTTTGACAGGTTACCTATTAGAAGTGTGGTTTCCTGGTCATCAATTATAGGGGCTTGTGCTTCACATGGTCATGGGAGAGATGCTCTTGAGTTGTTTTCAAGGATGAAAGAAGAAGGAGTCCCACCTAATAGCTTCACCTTCACTGCTGTATTGACAGCTTGTCGACATTCAGGTCTTGTCGAGGAAGGGAGGAAGCACTTTGAGAGCATGAGAATGGAATACTCGATAGTGCCAGGGGTGGAGCAATGTGCTTGTATGGTGGATCTTCTAGGACGATCAGGACAACTTCTTGAGGCTTATGAATTTATAGAGAACATGCCTATTGAGCCTGATGCGGATGTTTGGGGAGCTTTGCTTGGTGCTTGCAGAATTCACGGCAATCTTGAGATGGCAGAATATGTAGCAGATCGACTATTTGATTTCAATCCCCAGGCAGTACCTTTCTACATACTCATGAAAAATATCTATGCTGAAGCCGGAAGGTGGGACGATGTAGCTAGGTTGAAATTTTTGTTGGAAGAATTGGAAGTGGAAAAGATTCCTGGTAAAAGTTCAGTTGAGATAAATCGACGGATTCACACATTTTTGTCTGGGTCAAGGATTTCAAACTTCTCAAGAGTTCCACCCCGCGAATATGTTCAACTGAAGTAACAGCAAGCAGCTTTTTGTCTCCTATTGTTATTTAAGCATTAGAGTACTATATTATCTGTCACAGTCAATTGAAGAGTACTTTTGCAGCTTGGTCATCCTGGACTTTTGAGCCAGAGACACCTATGTCCAAACAATTAGAAGAAATTCAATATATTCCCTTTTGAGAGCAAGTCATCCTTTCCGCACACAACATAATTTGTACTGCGCTCTCCAACTGTGCTTCTGAAGGTTGGGAAAATTTGATGGTTATCTAAGGAATATTAACTTGGGTGGGGAGAATGTAGATGATTGTAAGATTCATCATCTCGATCTTCCAACTGGCTTCTGTTCACCAGAGTTTGAATCTCTGATAGTAAAGTTTCGCCCAAATTACTGGTTGTATTAACTAGGTAAGTTCTATTTTTGCTGTTTGTTGTAGATGCATAGAGATAGAATTTGTATGTGTCGTAATTTTCGTTATTTGAAGAACACATATAAGGAAAATGTGGTTAATGTGGAGCTTTAATTGGAAGATTGAATTTTTTGAGCAGCTTCATTTTGCTGGAGATTGAGTCTCAAATTTAGCTTTTTTATGTGAATTGCTGATTGTTTTATGAGTTGAAATTCTGCTTATAAAGATGCACAGATGGAGGTAGAATTTGGTTTGTTTTGTGTCTTTGATGTTTTGGCTACTGTACAGTAGGAAAAAATGGGGGGATGGGGACTTTGGAGCCCTAGAAAATTGCCTCCGACTTGACTTTCTGCTTCATTTCCTCATTTCAATCTTCAGAATGGCTTCCTTTTGTCCGAGATCGAATATTTAATTGAATGTTATCCATATAAATATTTGTATTCAAGAGTTTATGTTTGTCATTGTTTTTGATACACAGGTAGCATTTTTGTTATTTACTATAGTTGTTTCGAAACTGTAACTAAAAATTTCAACAATCAGTAAATCTTTTGAGGAGCTTGGTTTTTGCTGATATTTGTTAGGTGGTCCTCAAACTCTTATTCATTCGCTGTGTCTATCTTGCAAACTGCATCATCACTCTTATTTTCTGTTTCATTCTGCTTCATTGCATCTGCAGGTTGCTGTTTCGACGAAGAAACAGGATGCTCAATCTCAGCTTGAGACAAAAACAGAAGAGTGGTGATGCAGCAAAACGTCTTGAAGATGCAATCGACAGAATTAAGACTCAAAAGATACGAATGCACTTCTGAATGTGAAAGAACATCTCTTTTCTTTTCTCGGAAACTGGTAAGGTCGTATTCCTCAGAACAGGGCGGGATTGATTGTTCTACCTTAAAAACATGGTTTACCTTCCAGGTATTAGTGCTGGAGACCATCAAAAAACAAGAGTTTTAACAGGAAAGAAAATACTAACAGAGATCCTAACAAATCTACAAGTTCTGTCTCCTCTAAAAAGGGTGACTATTGGTCTCTTCATCATTCCCACATAGTTGACATTAGGAAACAATGTGCGGACCTTTGTTAGGGAGCGTTTTACCCTCAATATGAGACTTCCTTGCGTGAATTCGGATTTAATCGGGCTCCAATGTGTGCACTAGACACCGAGTGTTAAAGCATGCATTTCTGGCCACCAACCAATATGTTTCTATCTCAAAGACCACCAACCAATATGTTTCTATCTCAAAGACTACCATCCATGATATGTTTCTATCTCAAAGAATCTGGATCTGAGCTAGTGCATTTAGGAGTCGTTTGATACAAAGATTAATAACGCAGGGATTAGTAACACAGAAATTAGTAATGCAGAGTATATTTTATCCAGTGTTTGGTTCATTATTTCCAATTTCATCTTGTGTTTGAATTAAAACTCCATTAAAAAAATTTCTTTACAATTATACCTTGGATTATCATGTGATTGGGTCAAGTTAGATAATTGTTGGACAAATTATTTTTTTATGGCTTTCTAACTAGTAAGGAGATCTTTTTAGGATAATTAAATGTCATTTTAATAAATTAATCACTCACAAAATGTCAATTTTTTATTTTAAAAATAAATCTACTTTTAATACTGAAAACAATTGTAAAATTGCATAAACCATCTACATTTATACATTAAAATGACAAATTATAGTTTCAATATGTATACAATTTTATAATATATGCAAAATACAAATATAAGAAAACTGTATTATTAATAAGGTCAAAGTCATATGCGGTCTTTTAAAGTTGTCCTAATTATTTATTTAGACCACTTAACTACACTTAGTACCTATTAGACACTTTAATATTAACAAATATGTGTATATTGAGCACAAAATGGTAATGGGCATAAAAAATATTATGCGTGTAACTCATACGCGGTATTTTGATAAATCGAGAATATTTAAATTAATTCTATGAAATTTATGATATCATATTAATTATAAACTTAATTAGTTTAGTTTTTAATTTGAATGGTAATGTCAGTTTAGAGTTGCCAAAAATAGATATGGATGGAGAAGACGATGGCTGGAAGTGGAGTCGATTTCTTTTCTTTATCAAAAAAATAATTTTAAACAAAAAATTCTTTTAGTAATCTTAGTGCCAAGTGTTGATAAAACAAAAAAAAGTACAATTTTTTTTTTAAAACTTAAAATTTTAAACCTATCCACGCAACTTATAATAAGTGAGATATATTTATAATGTCACATCAGTGTTTGTGTTTAATAGGTACATGTTTTATACAATTTAAATTTTTAATACGTACAAGTCTTAGTTAATGTGTCTAAGTGAATTATGCAGACAACTTTAAGGGGTTGTATAACACATATGAATGTTGGATGGGGTATCATGTAATTGTGACCTTACGAAGTGACTAGCATTGTATCGGTACCAATCCTGTACCATTTCGGTCTGGTCGTCTACGGGATGGAACGGGACACCGTGAATTGATACTCGGAACGGAACGGAATTAAAATTTTATCTTGGTGAGTCAGATCCGTTGATCCCAATAAATTTTGATTCCAATCACGTAAAACGATTAATTATTTTTTATTAATAAATTTATATTATATAATTTTATCTCGACGATTCAGATCTGTTGATCCCGATAAATTTATCTTTTCCACTGACCCAGACCCCAGATATTCGTTGGAACAAGACAATTTGGAGGTATCAATATTGTTTAGATATTGAATAAATGTTGAGTCGAGAAATCTAGGACTTCCAAAGTTAAGTAGTCAATATGATTTTTTCATAGATTCAACCATTAGATATGGTAGTGACGACGACATAGAACTTTAAGATCGTCAACGAGCTTTATCAAGACCAGTAGTTCATAATGGTCAATCTATAGCTGAGTTAGAGAAATACTTTGTAGTATGATATCAATATTAGTATTACATTCGAGGCTTAGTTGAAATATAACCCTTCCTAGAAGGTGACTACGTAAATTAGACACTCTACTAATAGTTGTAAATTGTAATACAAATTTGAATCAATTGGATTGATGTATTTTTTAATTTGTGTCATTGTTATATAGTTTTATTTTTATTTAATTTTTTAAAATTACAAACTTAACTTATTTAAATTACAAGTTATAAATATAACTTATAACATATTAATAAGTAAATAACTTATAACCTTCAAAAGATTCAAATTCAAATCTTGAAAACTTAAGCTGAAATTTATTTTTTGAAAAAAGACTATTAAACATAAATTACAAACTTAATGAGTAATATTTTAAAAAAATATGTTTAAAAATAAACTTTAGTAAAATTACATTATAAATTTAAAAACTATTAAAATTTAACTTAAAAAAATAAAAAAACATTCATATTTTCGTGATCAAAACAATTAAAAAAAATTATTTTTTGAAATATGTGTCGCGTCCCAATACAATTCCCACTATACTGTGTAACAGAACAGAATTTTGAATACTCATCTTCGTAATCTCGATCCGATTTATCACGATACCTATTAAAAAGTTGGTCAACATGTCCCATACCGGTCTGGTACCAGTTCGTTATGATCCAGTGGTTTCAGTACGATCCGATGTCCAGCCTTATACTAGCATTAATAGACTTCTACCAAGAAATACAACCAATTGCGAAAATAATTCGGGAACTAATGAAGTTGAGAGTAGTCAAACGATGGCTTCTTAACTCGCAATGTTACTTCAAAATGCACTTTCTAAAAAGCCTACTCTCATCGACTTAGACTTCAACAAACGCTTTGTGCGGTACATCGCTAAGAGAATGAAAGACTTATACTTTAACAAGTGATTCGTGCGGCACATCTCTAAAAGAATGAATAAAGACCCATGAGAGTTTTAAAGAAGACTTTTGTCTTGCTTTAAAAGATTACATTTGCTTAGTTTATGTTTGGTTCATTTACAAATGAATGCCTTCTATTTATGCTACACATCTAGAGGCTAAGTGCAAATAAATTATTATGCAAGTCCTTACATGTCTACAAGCTAATTCCTCTTTTAGAATTTTCTACAAGCTTAGGGAATTCTAAAGTCTTTCAAGATATCTTCTAGGATATTCTTGAGTCTTCTCCAAACCTTTATCTAATATTTTAGTACCTTCCCACTAATTCTAGCTCACTTATGCTTTAAATCCATTTCGAAGTGGTATGACAAAGTGGTGAGTCATGGCATTCCCCACCTGATATTGTGACAACTGCAACGTATTACTAATGCATGGATAATCAAGTTTTATCTTCTCGCATGTGTGACCAATAGTCTATTGACTCGTTTGATGCCTTTGTGTAACCCCTCATGCATCATTTTTTTATTTTCTTCTGGAACACTCTCTATACATTATAGATAAATCCTCTTATGATGATTATCTTTAGTCACACTCACAATTGTGGCCATGAATGTCGACTCCTCCTTCTTGAGGCCCATCACGAACTGCATGACCTATAGTTAAACTTGTCCTTCCATTTTTGGTACCTTAACCAGGGGCATCATACATAATCCTTCTTGCTTCTTAACTAAAAGTTATTGGAGATAAGGAACAATTATCGTGTGAAAACTTCTGGAATAAGTCCTGCCCAAGAATAATCTAAAAATATCTAATAGAGCGACATTAAAATTTGTTTTACTTTGCCACTTGTCCAGCGTGATGCTACTTCATTAACGGCTCCACACATATGAGTCGGTGGTGCATTAACCCTTTTAAGGTGGGTGTTACTTGGACTATACCATAAACCCAACTTTGTTGTTGCGGTCATGATGTTAGTTTTTGCACTTATGTTTACCATAGCACGAGCGGGTCGCCTATTAATCGTGATGTCTACATATTATGTATTGTATTATTTAAGGCCTCTATGGTTGCTTTGGGATAGCTCCACATAGTCCAATTAAGACCAACTACGTTATGTTTGTACTTGCCCTGGTTCTTGTGCATCTTTTGCCTTTTATTTCCGTAATATGGAACCAATGTGCTTTAGTTCAGGGCAATTTGCATAGCCATGCTATCGACCGCATATATAACAATTGTTTCTCTTTATAGTCTTGGTTTTTCTCTCTGTATTGTTTTAAGTCAATACTTCTTGTAATCTTACTTATATGCGTTGTGCATGTGGTTGTTGCTACTTGATTTTGCCACAATCTCCCTACTTTGTCATGACTATCTCTCATCTCATTTATTATGGCTTGGTCGGGTTTGACATGCCTAAAATTTGTCAAAGTTACGACATGCATAATGACTTTATCAATAGTCATGACCTGTCGGAGTTCCAACTCCACCTTGGCCCAATTTTATAGCTCATCCATGACGTGAAATAACATTATCTGTGAGGGTGGTGAACTCTTTCACGTATGTGTGTATTGTTGTATGTGTGCTTAAACTCCCTATACTTGTGCTTCGCCTCATAGATGACATTGTTGGGAAGAATGTCTTGTTGAATTCTTCTCGGAATTGCTTATGATGCAAAACCTCTTCCCTATCTCAGACTTATTAGACTCCAACGTAGCATGACCATCTCCGAGTGGTACAATACAACAATGTTGATCTTGTTCTTATCTCTCGTCACTTTGTTGCACTTGAAGTAATCCTCCAAATGCCATAGGAAATTCTCCACCTCTTGCCCGTTACAGATGCTTTTGAACATCGGTGGCTTTGGAGCCTCAATCTTAGCCTCCCTATCTTCATTGGATGTCTCAGATTCTTTATCTTATATCCATCTCTCAAGTGCTTCCATCTTAGTCTTTCTTCTATAATTCTCTACAAGCCTAGAAAATCTTAAAGTCTTCCAAAAAATCTTCAAGGATGTTCTAGAGTTATCTCCATGCCTTTCTAAGACTATAGATCCTTCGTACTAAGACTAACTCACTTATTCTTTAATTTCATATCTAAGTGGTATCACAAAAAGGCGAGTCATGACACTACACATGCAAAGGATGAGGGTAAAACAAAAAGAAAGCCTATATGTGACATTAGATATACCATGGAAAGCAATTCCCTAGGTTTCTTTTTTACTTACTGGCTAGAGCTAGGCTAAAAGCTCTTCTTTTTTAGTTTCCTATGCGGTGTTGGGAATCCATATTTTGAAATTCAACTAAATACGAATTCACATAGAAAAGTTCCATATTGGGGGTAAAACTATTTTGTTTATACTAGGTCAAAATTCCTTAAAACAATACACCATTCTCGATGTTGTATAACATGTGATGATAGTATATTCGAGTTTCTTATGCCCAAATAGTTCGGGTTCTTGCAAACCAAAACTATTTTTATCTTTTATAATCTTGAAGGCAAAATCGAATGCACCAAAACCCAATTATGTTGGTTAAGGATGATGATCATAAATGATTATTAGTGACAACTAATTATAATGATTGGTAATAATATGGTGCACGTTAATGGTATTGGAAGCCGTGAACAAATGAAATTATTGGTAACCGCCATTTTTGTAGAAATCTTAAAATAGATATCGTTAAATAGTAATATTTGTGTAAGAACATAAAGGAAAAATGACTTTTGTGGTATGAACATAAACTTTAGTAACTTTTTGTGAAATTTATTATTAGAAGTGTGTTGTATTCATAGGTTTTAAGGAGATCCATCATTAAGTTTCTATGTTTAATTGTGTAAGTTAAAACTTTTAGTCTATCTCATTCGGAACAGATTCTGATTCTGATTTGGAATCAACTCCCAATTTTGGCTCCAACTAGGCAACTAGGGGGCAAGGTCTAGTCCTAACTTGAGTTTAGGTCTTTGATCTCAGTATGAGATTCATTTCAAATCAGTATTGAATCAGATCATGGCTAATTGAGTGTTGGTCCTGATTAAAATTAGGTTAGAATCAGGTTAAGGATCAAGTTATGAGTTAGGGTTATGTCAAAGTCATGTCTCGAGACCATGATTCAAGTTTGTGTCAAAGAGCATGAATTCATATATTTACTATGTTCAATTTTAAATATTTTTGAGACAATATTTTCATACTAACCAAATACCATAAATAAGTAAAACAGAATACAACTTAAACATACTTATATTGACACCAATCTATATTTATATATTATAAAATAACATATAATATCAATATCAAATAGGCCATATACATCACTTCTAGAACTTTCTCTTATTTAAGTGAATCTTCATTATTTTAACATTAAATTAAACCAAAGATATATATATATATATATATATATATATATATATATATATATATATATATATATTGAAAATGTGGCATGTAATTGAATCAAGAAGTAATGCCACAACATGCACAAGGCTAAAGTAAGACAAGTCACAATCCTTTATTCATAATAATCCAAATTTGTGGTGTTTTTATCCTAATCGAATCAGAAACTGCCATGTGTCAATTTCAAGTACGAAACATGTCAACCACTGGAGAAAAAAAAAATCTTAGATTTTTTATTTTGCGATTCATTTTCTCCTATTCAATTTATAAGCAAATGATCATGATTATTTTATATTCCATCACAACCAATCAAATATAGTGCCATAAGATTTGAAGTATAAAATACAAATAGAACGAATCTATTTCGTAACCTGACGTACATCGTCAAGAATTACATAGTAAAATTTTTTTCAGTAAAAATGATAGTACTCGATCTATTAATAAATTCTTTAAATAAGTTGTTAAGTTCTTTTTATAAGAACCATTTTGTGTCTTTTTTGTCCATTGAACATATCATAACATGTTTGGAGAAAGAATGTCAAATCCCTTCTAGAACTCTCTTGATTTAATCAATTAATACAATTACTATACTATACTATTTATTTTTTAAATTAAATGATTGATATGTAGATCTTGAAGCTTATGTGGCATATAATTTATTCCATTATAAATTTAGGCCACAAAATAATAAAATTGCTAAAAAAGAGAAGTCATATATAGCCAAATTAGTGGTGCTTTTGTTCTCATCAAACCAAAAAATGCCATGTGCACCTATTGCCTAGTAATGATAATTAATTAAAGACATCTCATTAGTCATTAATCATTGATTAAATAATTTAATTTATATGTAAAGATTCTAAAATGGTAAAAAAATGTTACTCCTTATTTGGTACTCTATAATTCTCTAATAAAATACCTAAGTAAATTTCAATAGAGAAAATCATTATGTTGAGAGCATTTTTTAAAATAAATATGAAATTTAAATTTTATTGAAATTCTAACGCAGATTTCAAACACACCATATGAAGAAAAAAAAATTAAATTTCATCTGAAATATTTTCATTATCTCTAAATATTCATTCAAAAAATCACATCTCAAATTATTAAAAATCTTGAATATTACCATAATATCATTATTAATATTCCTCCTAATCAAATTGTCGGTTAGTAACGTGTAAATATCTTCTACTGGTGAACCAAAAAAAAAAAAAGAATATTTGCTAACAGGTGGCAGGTGGAAAAAAATAATAGAAAAAAAATCAAATATGTAACGGAAATTATTCTTTTCGTTTCAATTTTTCTTTTAATATTACTAAAACACAAAATTTAAAATAAATAAAAGAGTTTTAAACTAAATAAAATAGAATGTAACAAAAATATAGTATAATCTTATGTTCTTAAATATATCGAGTGAAAAGTTGAGATAAAAAAAAATTTAAACGGACTTTAAAAATTAAAAAAAATTGAAACAAAGGAAGTACGACATTAATTGAGACAAAGATGAGTACTCCCTTCGTCTATTTTTATTTGTCATGTTGCATTTTTCGAAAGTTAATTTGAGTATTTTCAAAGTTAAATAAGATTACATCAATTTGACATTTTAAATAAAAAATTTTGATATTCAAAAACTATACGAAAAATACTATAAATTGCAATTTTTTACATATCAAAATAATAAAAATATGCATAGTAAAATGTTAGTCAAAGTTATAATCTGACTCTCTCATGTCAAATTATATGCCATGGCATCTAAAAATATTTATTTTGAATTATTTATCATTTTAGAATTTTTAAAATAAAACTAATTTTATTTTCCTATTTTTGTTTTCCCATTTTACCCTTTCTAATTGTTGTTCTCGAAGATTCCAAACATCTCAATTTCGAGCATTCTTATCATGGAGTAAAATCTTTTATCAATCATTCGTAAAGGGACGCATGATAAATAATTTGAGACGGATCAAATAATTTACTAATTATATCCAAACAACCCCCAAATTTTTGAAAAATTACATAATCAAACCCTCAATTACCATTTTTACAAGCCAATAGAAAATCAATTCCACCATTTCACGTAAACTTCATAGCAGAAGATAAAATCTCTGCTCAGCTCTTATGTTTTATAGCTGTTTTTATAGTTATTTTTAATAATCAATTTTTCTGGTTCGGTGGTTGAATTATTGAAAACTATGTAACAAAAATCTCTTATCCCTCTAATTTTTAGATGTTTTTTTTCAGATTAAAGAGCAAAAAACAAGAATTGGGGTTATGAGTTCTTGATGTAAATTGTGGGATTTGCACAATTTTTGGTTTTATTTTTGAGTTTCCAAGGTATATTATACATTGGGTTAAAGTATTTTAATTTGTGTTCCCTTTAGTGGAGTTTTCTTGTTTTTTTTTCTGCAACTGAATCTTTTATAAAAAAAAATGTTCCAAGTTTGATGGAGAAGGGAAGTTTTTTAAGGTTCATTCATAAAGTTAGTAACTTTTTTGTTGTAGTTATCTGAAAATCAGATTAATTTTGAAAAAAAAAAAGATTTTATTTTTCTGTTATTTAAGAGGTGGTATAATTGGAAGGTGTAATTTTTCTTTTGGGGTTTTCTTGTTCTTATGTGACTGAATCTTTTATTAAAAAATGTTCCAAGTTTGATGGAGAAGGAAAGTTTTTAAGGTTCTTTATGAGACACCCAAGCTGGAAATCTCATAAAGTTTGTAACTTTTTTTTGTTGTAGTTATCTGAAAATTAGATTAATTTTTTAATAAAAGGTTTTATTTTTCTGTTTATTTATGAGGAGGTTGAATTGGAAAAAGCTGTAACTTTTCATCTGGGGTTTAGTTGAAAAATGTTTATTTTTATTTCTTGAAATTTTAGGTGCTAAATTCAGCTATTCTTCAGGGTCAAATGTTAGTTGTTGTATTCTATTATGACCTATTTTTGTGGGGTTTTTATTAGCTGTCAATTTTCTTGCCTTTGGTTCAAGTTGAATTGGAAAAAGCTGTAATTTTTCATCTGGGGTTTAATTGAAAAATGTTTATTTTTATTTCTTGAAATTTTAGGGTTCTAAATTCAGCTATTCTTCAGGGTCAAAATTCAAATATTAGTTGTTGTATTCTATTATGACCTATTTTTGTGGGGGGTTTATTAGCTGTCAATTTTCTTGCCTTTAGTTCAAGTTGAACTTGAACATGGTTTGAAAACTTGACTAAGTTAATTGCTAATAAAAAGGTAGAAGACAAAAAGGTGAAGAATTTGAATTATGTTGCATATTGTTTGTTTTATATATTAGAGAACTTGTTTATGTCTTACCTACCTGAATAATGACAACATTATAGGCCAGATACAATGGAAGGAAATCCCTCTTCCTTTGGGGTTCCATGGTTATAATATAAATAGAGATTCAAGGTTTCTGAACTCTTTTGTACTATTAATATGATAAAATAATTATAAGGATCTCTTTTCTTGATTTTGGCTTAAGCAATACATGCCTGTCTTGATGTTTGTTTGCCATCAATTTCATTGTGTTCATTTTCTTACCTTATCTGTCTTGGAATAGGAACAAATCACTCATTTAGTGTTTCATTGAGGTTCCAGAATCTTGATACATTCGTCTGACTCTGTGTCCGGTGCTGTATTGGATAAGTTTCTGGATATAGGAAGAAATGGCCATGACATTTACCCCCTTGTCATGGTTGCTCTGGAGTGGAAAGCATCAAGAACCCAAAATTTCCAATGGTTCTTTAAATTCATCACCTGAATCGTTATTGTGGGAATCGGATACTTTGAAGTTTCCTCTTGATCGCAGGAGGGACATGACTTCCTCATCAAGAAGGGTTAAGCGGAAATGGCAGAGTCGTGAGGAACGAAAGATTGACAGGGAATATGATATTGTTATTGTGCCATCAGATGGTGGATGTGTTTCAGGGTCTGAGTCCGAGGATTCAGATTGGTCAGTTGGATGGTTGGAGCCTCATGGACCTGGATTCAATAGTGATGATGATTTAGATGATAGCTTTGCTGTGCTTGTTCCTTGCTATGGCTACGGTTGTGCAAATGTGGAAGAAAATGCCCAAGATAAGTTTCTGCAAGCCATTGGAAACTTGAAGGATTTATATGATACTGGTACGAGTCTCTGGCTGTTATGTTCTTGTTATAGGAATATTGTTTCTAATATTGTATGTATCTCTTGGATGACGCGGAAAATTGAGTCTTGACCAATGCTTTTCAAAGATTATTATACTCATTGTTGTAGAAAACCTTATATTGTAAAAGACTACAGGCTAATCACAGATTGCTGGCAACCTAGGCTATCTAAGAGAAACACAAGTGGTGATGTTCATAAAGATTTGCTGCATTTGCAAAATACCCGACTCACAACAAGCTCTATTCATTGAAAAGGTCCTTCCCCAGTTACAATCATTATAACCATGTGGATGATGAGGATATATGCCAGTACTCTTCGCTATATAAATCAATGCATTACTGGTTCCTCATTTAGTTTTAACATACCTAACATGAGATTAGACCATTAGGGTTGACACAAAGTACTGCAGTAGTTGTTGCAGTTATAATAAGAGAGTATGCAATGCCCAAGTGAGTAACAGATGTCATGAGGCTAGAATTCCAACACGTGACACTTCGCCACTAGGTTGATACCTTAGGGACCTCATTGATCAAAGGAGTTATAAATTCCAAAACCTGTATTGATAGAGTATGAATGATGATACAATTGCTTCTTGACACCAAGAGAGGAATGTGGCAATGCTTCTAAACCAACTAACTTAATGAATGTTTCAGTTGCTTTACTATGTTTACAGATCTGAGTATTCGGTTTAGCTGAAAATTGAAATGGTTTCACTTTTGCTAGTTTCGTTTGATCAAAAAGTCGTAATCTTGCTTCAAGGATATAATCAGTTCAATTTAACTCTTCCTGCTTTTTAACTTTGCTGTTATCAGAGAGACCTAATTTTTTCTCAACATTGTTCTATAGCTATTACAAGTAATTTTAAAAACTTATTCGTTTCTATGTAATTGAACATAAATATCGGCAACAACCCCTCTACCTCTCACAATATAGGGGTAAGGTCTGCATGCACCCCACCCTCCCCTGACCCCAGTTGTGGGATCACACTGGGTATATGCTGTTGTTGCTTATTGTATCTGATTGAACATAAAGTCATCAATAATGCATTGAATTAGTTAAAGAGACAAAAAATAAGATCTATGATGAGTAAATTATATTCAGCTTTCCCTTTTCGTCACAGTTCTTAGTTTTGTACCTTGTATGATTTAGGCTTCTTGATTTCGTTGCAGAGAATAAGAAGTATATGGAGCACTGGGTCTCATCTCTGAGAGATCACTGAAATCCAGCAGCGCCTATGGTGCTGATCAGAACTTGTTTTCTGCTGCCTATCCTGATTCTATTTTGCAGTGGATCAAACTTGAGCTGTTATGGTTACTCATTACAAGCTTAGATATGAACTCTGTAGAAATATAAAGATATAATCCTACAACAAAACGAAAAAAAAAAGAGTGTGGAAATAATGTATATTCGTAGAAAGATGAGTGAGCTTGAAGGGCTTTAATATTTGAGGAGAAGAAACAGCAGACGATATAGGTATCTGCTGCTTCCAATCCACCTGATGCATCTCGAAAAGGAAAAAAAATGAAAAAAAAAAACAAGAAAAAGGAACCTCCCTTTAGTATTTCATGGTATTTGATCTCCAGAATTGTCTCCGAAGATGTGACCTCTACTTGCAATGCTTCTTCATGAACATTGGTGTAAATTTTCGATGTAAAGTGACTGGAAGGAGACAGAAAGAAATGGATGATGGAGGACACAATATTCTTAAAAAGAGGGTAAGGCACAGCTGTGTGTTCTGCTTTATATCATTCTTTGATGTAAATATATCTGTGAATATGTAAATATGTTCATCTAGTTTGTAAATACGTCGCGTGAAGTTTGATAACCTTCATAAGTATTGTAAATAATTGTAAACCTCAGACAGCATTTGTTTGCAATAATATGCCTCTTGCTGTTTATTTTTTATGTTTTCCTTCCTTGCTTCCTCTCTATATCCCTCTGTTGTTCTGTGTTTCTGTTGTTTAAGGCTATGCCATTAGCCTGTTGCTGTTAACTCTATTGATTGGAAATGAATAGAAACTTCATTCATTATCAAGTCAATATGTTGAGGAGCTCAATGAAGAGGACTTTAGCAAACTTTTTACAACGACGACATATTCGGTATAATCCTACAGGTAGTGTTTGGGAAGGTGGTCACTGGTAAGTACGTAATCTTACCCCTACCTTGTGAAGAGTGAAAATTGTACTAGTAACCTTATGGGAGAGTATCTGATTATTTTGATCTCAATTGTTCCATGTTCATTTTTGTATATATAATCGTGGTGTTCGGACCTACTTGGTCATATCTAGCCATGCTCTTCTCAATTTTTCATTTTCCAGCATAGCAAACAAGTATGTAAATATCTTTGCATAGTAGTTAACAACCACAATATAATATTAACACCACCACATCTTTTTTTTAAAAAAAATAAATATATTTGTGAGCTTAGCTTGCCTGGAATCATGTAGCATCATCTTGTAATAGCCATGTTAGTATGTTACAGACAATGCAAAATTGCTACTCCCTCCGTTCAATATTGTTTGTTAGGGTTTCTATTTTTTACAGTCAAATTTAAGAACTTTGACTAAAACTTTAAAATGTATTTCTTCATCATATAGATATGTAAAAAATTGTAATTTATAGTACTTTTTTATATTATTTTTGAATATCTAATTTTTTTTGTTTAAAATATCAAATTAATGTAATCTAATTCAACTTTGAATATTAGTCAAATTAACTTTCGAAAAACGTAACATGACAAATAAAAGTGGACGTCGGGAGTATTACTTTCGTAGTAAAAAATTATACTAACATATAGTATACTATTTATCTTGTAAATTTTATTTTCAAAAATTAAAAATTCGATATCCAAATCAATATACACCCTATATCTAATTTGTTTCTTCGATTCTGATTTGACACAAAGTTTAAGATAATGAAAAAGACTTTTGAATCTGATTATCTTAAATAAATCTGTATAGGATATATCAAATGTTCTTTAATCTTGTGGTCGTAAACATGAATACGTGACATACGAAAGTTAGAATCAGAGAATTATAAAAAAGAAAAAGTGCATTTTTCTTTAAGCGGACTAAAAAAAATAAACTAACAAACTGAAACGGATCGAATAGTAATGATGACAAACAAGAACAATAATAAAAAAGGAGAAAGTCAAACCATGTACACACCTCAACTCAAAAAGAAAACTACAATAAGAAAAAAATAGAAGAAGAGGGAAGGACATGCAAGCCATAATGTTAAACCAATCTGGCAGATCCATAATTTTTTAAAATTTTTTTAAAATTTTCAAAAAAAATTATTAAAATTGCCAATTGGTTAGTTAGTTAATGGGGTTCCTACACTTGTGCTAATTTCTAAAGAAAAAATAGATCCAACACTTTTTTTTTTGACCAAGTATGTTCCCCATACATTTTTGCTCATCATCATGCACATTCTCCTTCCTAGTAATCATATAGTTTTTTTTTTTTTTTGGATCTCATCTATGAGTTATCAAACAACTTATGTTCAATGAAGAAAAACAAGTAAATTTATAGTGAGGGTATTAGAAAAAAGAAGAAAAAAATGTTGCATAGAGCAGCAAGAAATGCATATTCTTGGTGGTGGGCTAGCCATATTAGAACAAAACAGTCAAAATGGCTTGATGAAAACCTCCATGGTCAGTTCTTTATTAGTATAATAATATCTATTTATGTATATCTTGTTTATGATATGATGCAATCTTTAATATATATAATAACAAACATTTTTTTGAGATTTTTAAAAACAGGTTCTTTTATCAAGAAAATAACAGAATATTGAACTAGTACTAGTGTGTTTTACTGTGTAGTTGTATAGATATCATGCAAATGTTTGTAGTTCCTATTAGTCATAATAAAGAAAGAACATACAGAGTTGTTATAGTTGTTTTCCTAATTGAGATATTGATAAAAAGTTTAAATTATATGCACCGACAGTGTAAAGAATGAATTTAACTCGTTATAGTCATAATGTATGTAGTTTAGTATTTTGACATAGTGTGGAGTTTAAAACAGTAAAGAAGTAGAATGTACCAAAATGTCGTTTAATCTTACGGTCTTAAACATGTCATATGCGAAGTTAGAATGGAATATTTGCCAAAAAGTTGAAAAAAACACTCTTTTATAAACGGACTAAAAAGGAATGTAAGACAAATAAACTGAAACTGAAACGGAGGTAATATTTGTCTTAAAAAGGCATTGGAAGTAGAAAAAAGAATGATGTTAAAGGAACTTTCTTGGATCACTATAACAGTATAAATCACAGATGAGATTTGTTTGTTCCTTCTGTTGTCTTGTAAGTAGAGGGGAGGACCATTATCCACTGAGTTTCAAATCGCGCATCATTAGACCATTATCCACTGAGTTTCAAACCGCGCATCATTAGATCATTATCCCCTGAGTTTCAAACTGCGGTATCATTAGACCATTATCCACTGAGTTTCAAACTGCGGTATCATTAGACCATTATCCACTGAGTTAGTTCATACATGCATAAAGAGCTAAATGTTATGTCTGTTATTTGCAGATATGGAGGAGAAGGTTGAATACGTACTCAAGATCATAGACGAGGATGGAGAATCCTTTGCAAAGCGCGCTGAGATGTACTACAGGAGGAGGCCTGAGCTTCTGAACTTCGTGGAAGATTTTTTCCGGAGTTACAGAGCTTTGGCAGAGAGATTTGATCATTTATCCAAAGATCTTCAGACTGCTAATCGAACCATTGCAACTGTCTACCCTGAGAGAGTTCAACTCGCGATGGAAGAAGAAGATGGAGAACAATTTTATGCAGAATTAGGACCTCCAAAGGAATCAAATGAGCCTTCCAAAAGCTCACCAGCAGCCCCAAAGTTAAGTTTCCCAAAAGTTCCTTCATTTGCCAAACGAAATGCCAAACCATCAAGGTTAATGTCAAAGAAGGGGCTAATAAAGTTCAATGTTGATGATGAAATTGCTGCTGCTCGTCCAAGATCAGGCTTGAAAAAGTCCGAGGCACTCCAGGAAATCGATAAGCTACAGAAGGATATTTTGGCACTTCAGACTGAGAAAGAGTTCATCAAGAGTTCATATGAAAATGGTCTAGCAAAGTATTGGGAGATCGAGGAACGGGTCACTGTGTTGCAATCTAAAGTTAGCAGCTTGCAAGATGAGTTTGGTATTGGTACAATGATCGAGGATGATGAAGCTCGGTCATTGATGACAGCCACAGCTCTGAACTCATGCCAAGAGACCTTGGCTCGGTTGCAGGAAAAACAGAAGCAATCAGTGGAAGATGTTATAGTTGAGCATCAAAAGATTTTAGAGGTCCTTGGGAAATTTGAGACTCTTAAGGGAAAGGTTGTCAGTCGACTGCCTCATCCACAGGTCCTCTCTGAAGTAAATAAGTCTTCCAATCGAGATTCGGAATTGAAGTTGCTGAACAGGCAAGTGGAAACTTCTGAAAGAAAGAAGCATAATGAAGAGACAGTGCATAAGGAGCTGGTGGCTAGTTCTGGTAGTTCCATGTCTGATCTGGCAGAGAAGGTTGATGAACTTGTAGATAAAGTCATAAACTTGGAAAGTGCTTTCTCTTCCCAGAATGCATACGTAAATAGATTAAGAGCGGAGACAAATGAACTTCATTCACATCTGACCAAAGCGGAAGAGGAGAAGGGAACTTTGGTTGAAGATACCGAGAGCATGAGCAAGAGGATCAGACAACTGGAGGAAGAACTTCTCAGGGTTCAGAATCTCAATGAAAGATTTAGCTTCGATGATCTCTCTGAAAAATTGAACAACAACAGGCAAGATGAAGGTGTCAAAGTTACTTTGCCATCCAATAAAGTAATCAATATTTCAGGAGTCGATAATGCAAAGCAGTTTCAAGCCCATGGAGCAGTCATACCTGGAGAAAATGTTGTAGGTAGCTCCAATGATGTTGTCAGTAAGGAATGTTTGAAGAAAGAAGGCTTGGAAGGACAGGAGGATTGTCATGAAGTTGACCATCAAAACCTTGTTGAGAGTCACTTGAGCAGCAATACTCGATACGGACAGACAGGTGGCACTTTAGGTGCTAACCAGGGTGTTTCAGGTGTTGAAAAGGCGAAACAGTTTCAGGTTAATGAAGCAACCATTCCTGGAGAAGATGTTCCAGGTATCTCCAAAGGTGTTAGTAGTAAGGAGGGCCTGAAGAAAGAAGTCTTGCAACAACAGGAGGGTTGTCTTGAAGTTAACCAGAAAAACCTTGTCAAAAGTCACATTAGCAATGATACTCGAGATGGACAGACGGGTATAACTTTAGAAGATAACCAGGGATCAGGGTTCACAGACAAAGAGATGATGATGACCACCGCTAGTACCACAGGTAAAGAAGAGAAGTTTCCAAAAGCCGATCTTCAGACTGAACAAGACAGTTTTATCAAAAGTACCGTGGGAGATTCTGCAGATGTTGGGATAGAAAAAGGGTCTGATAAAAGCCACGGGCATGTTACAGATCATGGTTCATACACCAAAAAGAATGATGGAAAGGTCGAGCCAAGAGGGACATACGACAGTGCAAATAGAAGCAATTTTCTTGGTTCTGCTCCTGGTTATGATGCAATGATCTCAACGGATACCAAAATGGGAGAGGAAGCAAAGAGACGAGATATCCTGGATAATCTCATCCCCTTCAAAGGTGAAGCTGAGAAGTTTTTCGTATCCGACCTTCAGAATGACCATGACGACTCAACCAAAATTGGTTGTGTGAAGGATGTGGAAGAGGTTAAGTTAGAAAAAGGGGTTGACAAAAGTCAACAAGTACATGTTACAGATCATGGATCACCTACCAAGAAAAATGTCGAACAAAAGGGGGGAAATAATCTTGCAGACAGAAGGGACATTTTCCCCAGTTCTATCAATGATAAAGAAGAAAAGCATTACAAAACCAACCATCAGAATCATCTGAATGACTTTATACAAGAAGCTCCACCAAGGAATTCTCCAGTTGAAAGTGAAAGCTTTCATACGTCAAATGATGACTTGACCACAAAAAGATACGCAGGAAAGGAAGAGCAAGCCAGGATAAAAGATGCTGCAGACAGGAGTGATTATTTTCACATTGTTGAAGGTAAAGAAGAAACATTTTACAAAACCCACGACCAGAATCATATAATGTATTGTTCCCAAAATTTGATGCAAATGAAGTCTGATGAAAGTAATCTACATGTTTCAGATAATGAATCTGCCATCAGAAAAGATATGAGGATGGAAGAGCAAGCAGGCACCAAAGATATTGCAGAGAAGAGTGGTCGTTTGCAAATTCCTCCAGAAGGTAAAGAAGAAAATATTCAGAAATCCAACCATCGGGATTACCAGTATGATCTCCCTGCAAATGTTTCTATAAGCAAAACTTCTAACACCAAGATGGAGAAGGCCTTTCATGAAAGTGAACCCGCACATAATTCAGATGATTCCGCAGCTATCAGAGAAGAGAGAACAGAGGAACTAGCAGGTAAAACTCAGATATTGCATTATTACTGGTACTTGTCTAATTTCTGTCAAATTTAAGGAAGAAAGTTTATTACATTTCTGACTTTACGAAACTATGCAGTAAAGGATGCTTCACATGAAAGTTTGTCTATGAGTTCACCCTATGATTCAGATATCTCAAAAGACATCAGAGTTGGACAGCAAGCAAGAAGAACAAACATTACAGACAAGTTTGCTTCGTCTACTAGTGAAGAGGGAAGAAGTTTATCCAATGATCTATTGCAGGTTAGTCCATCTGGAGCAACATTAGATGGAACTTCAAAAGGTGGATCCAATAAAGATGTTCATACAATGAATCATCCTCGTCATGATTCAGTTTTCCTTGAAGACACGGAAAAATCAGACCAAAGTGAAGATACAAGAGCATCGAGTAGCGGCTCAGGGATCTCAATCACTACGAACAACAAAGGTAGAGCAAAGGTAGGTGATGATCATCATCTCAATATGAATGACAGCAAGCAATCAGATGATCTTTCAAGAAGGATGGATTTCAAGAATAAAATCGAGTCGGAGGAGCAAAACAATGAATTCTCTCACAATTTCATTCAAGAAAAGCAAGATGTTGACTTTCAACAATCCAATTGGCATAACCAACTTGAAACACATTCAGCAAGGGTCCACGTGAAAGATATCCCAGGCCCCGTCCCAGATGATGAGCTAGAAGAATGGGGAAGTATTTTAGATAATCTTCCATCTGTCTTAAGTGATTATAAGAGAGATGACCTACACAAGGATGAGCTCCCAGATCAAGGTACTCCGCTCTTAAGCTTTTAGAGGATACTATCTATCTTTGTCAACTTGTAAATTAATTAAGCCAATTGGCACTTGTTGTAGAGAATGGCAAAGATTCAAGGAGGCAAGTGTTCAGGACAATTCACAATGAGCTCTACACGGAACAACATGAATCTGGAACAGAGGATGACCAACCAAACTGGAGAGCACTGTTCCTAAACAGCCTGGATGATGACAGAGAGAAGATACTACTTGAAGAGTATACATCAGTACTTAGAAATTTCAAGGGTGTGAAGATGAAGCTCAATGATGAGGAGAAGAAAAGGAGAGCTAGCCACTTCCAATATGTTGTGCAGATGAAAGTTCTAAAGAATGCTAATGCCTTGAAGGATGCACAGATTCTATCCTTACAGCATAGATTGAACTCGCTTCAGTCAAAAGACGTTGAAACAATAAACTTCAATGAAATGCCAAAGGAAGCAACCTTCCAAGCTGCTGACATGAGACAGGAATCAACTGCACCAGAAGACAGAAGGATCTCAGATTTTGGGGAGGACAGCAGAGATATCAAAGTTACTGATGTTGATGAAACACATTCCTTCACCACTGTTGAAGAGAAAGTACGGATGGACATTGATGATTTGCTGGAGGAAAACATAGAGTTGTGGCTTAGATTTAGCACCTCATTTCATCAACTACATAAGTTTCAAACTTCAGTTCAGGATTTACAAGATGAAATAAATAAAGTGAGGGAAGAGCGCAAGCAAGATACAGGTCTACCACAGTCGCTACTATCAGGCATTCGTCCAATCTATAGACATCTAAGAGAGATACATACTGAGTTGACATTGTGGTTGGACCATAATGCAGTGCTGAAAGATGACTTACAGAACAGGTTATCATCTCTATCTAACATTCTCGATGTGATAACAAGATTGTCAAGGTCCAAAGACAATGAACCAGTGTTGAATGCCTATCAAGCAGCAAAGTTTCAAGGTGAGATTTTAAACATGAAGCAGGAGAACAATAAACTAGCTGGTGAACTTGAAGTAGGGATTGAATGTATCCGGAAACTTCAAAATGAAATCCAAAGCACACTGTCAAACCTGGATGAAGAACTTGGGTTGAAAAAACAACCAGCAAGGCCTCGATCCAAAATTCCCCTAAGGTCCTTCTTGTTTGGAGTAAAGTTGAAGAGGCAGAGGCCGTCCATATTTTCCTGTGTGAATCCAGCATTGCAGAAACAGTACAGTGATTTATAACAGCACCAACATAGATCTTTTATAACAGCAGTAGCCAGACAGACGTCTCTTCCCCCCCCCCCCCCCCCCTCTCTTCCTTCCCCTTTAGCACTGTTGTAGTCAATTCTTAATAGTTGAAAATTAATTTGAAGGAGAAAAGGTGTGTTGCCTTTTATAGAGTAGAATACCAGATCTCCTCGTGTTTTAAAGCATTGCCATGTTCCTCCTTGCAACAACTTTTTTTTTCAGATTCACCAATTTCTGCAAACAACACAGCCATTCTAAGACCTGGTTTCACATATTGAATAACCGTGTACTTCAATTGATATGAATTTATAGATTTAGACAAGGTAGAACTTATCTTCGTTGGTGAAATGTCACACATCAGTTCTCCTGATCCGATTTCGGGTCTTTGAACTTTTAGCACAACATTTTGGAAACAACAAAAACGGAGTCTAACCATAACCATGTGTAAGCAACATGTAACAGATATACCAAAACCACTTACTAATGACAACACCTGGAGATATTCAACCTTCAACAAGAGAACATATGAAAGAATTTTGAATTGTCACCTAATTATAGACAAGAGATTTAGGAGAATACATTTGCAAAGTTGAGGATAAAAGTCAGCACAAAATAGCTGGTACAAATTAGAAATTACATACAAAGCAGGTCCAGCCAGTGAATTTATTCTACTCTCTCCCATCCTCAGTTCCCAAATGTGTCGCACCTAAATCCCCTTCCTCAACTTCTTCTAAACGTCTTCTTACATGTTCTGGGTGCAGGACCATGAACACCAGCATTTTCAACTGCCATTTCTATGTGTGTTCTATTTCTTGTTGCTGGTAGTCTCTTGACTTGGGGTTAGTTTTTCTTGAACCCAAATTCTTGAAGCTTTACTCTCTCCTCCAAGTTTTTTCACTGTGTCACATAAAACTGAAGTTTGACCTTCAACTTTCCCAGACAACAGGTCACCAAAATTTTGATCTTTTGGGACCTGCTGTTGTGGTGTATTCGCCAACGAAGCAGCTTGAATAACTTGTGTTTTCTCACCCCTTGTATTAGACAGAACAGCAATTTGATTTTCTTGGCTAACGGCTGCTTTAGATTTTACATCGAGCACGGTCGTTGGATAAGATGAAGGGGCACTTCGAACCCCAGATGAAGCATTCGTTCTGGATGGCACAGTCGTTGGTTTAGGTTGAACTGCAGGTGATACAGATCTTGGAGCCTGCAATTGCTGAGTTCTTGGAGCATGCAATTGCTGAGTTCCAGACTGTGGGGCATTTGAGGGACCTGCGGGACGGGACACCAGGCCAGTTCGCATGAAATGCACATTACTAGGCAAACCATTAAAGCTACCTGGCACAGATGATTTGACTGCAGGAGTTCCTCCAGGCATGATATGGACGCCTTTTTTAGACAGTGCAGCCTTTTGCAGCGAGGCAGCAGTACCTGAATGGGTAGCAACGCGGGAACTTGCAGCCATAGCAGCAGTTTTAACCATTAGATCTGGGTTTATAGCAGGCTTTGGTAGTGGAATTTTTGGGATTATAGGTTTTGAAGGTACTAAATCTTGCTGATGCTTGGGTTGTGGACCAGCAGATGCAACATCAGCAGCAGCAAAATGTGAAGAGTTACTGGGTCCACTGCCTGAATTTGTGCCAGCTGAAACAATACCACAACCTAGATTAAAATTAAAGCTTGCATGAATGGATGAAACGACTAGCAAGCACGTAATAAACATTTCGGCATAGTGCTGGAAAATAGAATTTGCTGCTAAAATTTTGAATTCATAAATCTTCACAGAGCACATAACTGTTGTTTCTAAAGGTAGGTATATTTGGCATGCAGACATTACTAATTGGAATTTGGATTGTCCAATTTTATTTCTTTGAGAATGCTAACACTGATTTTCCAATATTTCTTTAAAAAGGGAGTAAACAAACTCGTAGACCAAGTACAGTGGACACCATTAGGATCATATCCCATACTCCAAAGACCTAGACTGTTGGTTTTCCATAGCTCGACCTACCAGCATGTCAAAGGGTCTTACATTTTAGCTAACATCACTATTGAATTTTTTTTAATTTTTTTAATTTTTTTTAAAATTGGTAACATACACTGTTAAATATTAAATTATGTACAAACAACCAGCAGATAAGGTCAAAGACACCAGCCATTCAAGATTCAACTTATCATATGACACACTTGCGCCTTTAGCAGCGTCAATCTAGGCAGTATTGCCTGATTGATTATTTTTCCATCCTCTCACAGTAATGTGGGAGCAGACATATAGACATTATGGATGACACAAAGTTAAAAGAATTACCATTAGGGCTGATTGGACAAGCTGCTCTTACATTATCCCTGAAAGCCATGGACACCGCATGACGAGCAGCAAGCTGAGCCTCCGACAGATGTGAGCCATTCCCGACCATCATCACATGTTGCTTTCTAATAGTTGCCCACCTCTGCACAAAGATAGATTCATTATCTTTTAAAGTAGATTTACATGGTAGATAATAGTAGAAGATCTTAACCACAGACAAAAATATGTTTAAAAGTTCTGTTAACTGCTTAGTTAAAACTTAAAATCTAGTTTGCTAGTTCCACAAATAAGCACTTCGGGATCTCATTCATTTTCCAGCATTTGAACTCAACCTGAGAAACCCCATGCATTCAAATCATACTAGATAGTGGTGGACTTCCAAGGTATACCTAAAACTATTCTTTTCTGGGGGGAAGGGGGACTTGGGACATGACACAACAAGCAGTATCTCTTCTTCGTTACTTCAAGTAATTACTTAAGAGTATGACATGGAGAAATGTTTCTGCTTACTTAACCATAATTACTTAGCTCCATTACCGTTCACATTTAAACCAAAATAGTCAATAAATCATTCCCAACTATCTCTTCTTCACACACTTGAGGAAATTCATAACTACCGAAGAGGAATAGGCAACAATGAATAACAGCGGAAGTTCAAACACAGATTAATAAGTAGCTGAACTGGACAATATCTTTTCTGGTCGTTACAATTTGATGCATTTAGAAGGCATAATTATTTGGATGAGATTCATTTAGTAAATTGCAACTGCCAGTAACCTAAACACTGAAGTTCATTTAGCTCCAAACTGAGGATTTATCTATATAATAAAAGACTGAATGTGTCCTCTATCAAACTTTCATCAAACAAAGCAAATGAGAGAGGAAAAGTTCCCAAGCAATGAAGAAGAGTGCATACTTGAACTGACTATCATTGAGGACAAGGAGTTTTCAGGCTGGAGAATATATATTAAAAAAATTGAGATTGGTAATATGTTACATAAGTAGCACAAAGTCTGTGCTAGAACCATCTATACAGATATATAACCTATCAAGCATATATAAAATAAACCTGAGAGAGTTGTGAAGCTGTTCTGTCTCCCTTAAAATCTGTTTTCAATATATTTGCCCAGTTTCCTTCACCATACTTTTGCACTGCAGTAATGAGTTCCATATCCTCTGCTCCAGTCCAAGCTTTTCGTCGTCGCCGAGGAAGGTTAGCAGTAGCTGGTCCACTGGTGTCTAAACCCTCAGCTGCCGAGACAGAAGGCATTGGCTGCGTTTGCACTGTAACTGGGACCGTAAGTTTTTTCCCAAAAGCTGAAATACCCTGGAGTGAATTTGCTGCAACAGTTCCAGATGTTTGGCCATTGGGTATTTGTATAGTCAATGAAGCCTCAACTGTATTTCCATTTGACATATTTGAATCACGTAGAGCCCCAGAAGCAATGAATACCTGTGCAAGCCCAAAACAACACAAACTAACTCTGTGAAAAATGAGAGAAGCATATATGTCACCTTGAAAACCAGCGACCAGAGTAATGTTTCTTTTCAGAAGTACTATAGAGCTATTGAAGGAAATGTCTCAATACAGGTAGCTCATGTCGAAAGTTCATAAAAATCCAATGAAAGGCATGTAGAAATTCCATTTCTCAACCATGCAAAATGAGCTTATCAAAAAGTATTTATCATCTAAGAGGTTCATTTCCCAAACCTGTGGAATTATATCTAAAGTGCTTAACCCATTTATGTATTTCATCATATATATAACGGACTAAATTGAGACCCTTGATATGTGAATGTAAAGCCATCAGAATTCATACACTTGAAATTTTAGCAGTAAATCGGTTAGACTTCACCTAGAAGCATAATATGCTGCAGAAATTACTAAATGTTAAATTTATTACAAGTTAAATTGAAGCTTCCCAGCACTTAGGTCGGCCAAAAAACTTAAGATGAAGCTATTTAAAAACTATTCACGAAAATGGTGAAGGAGATCACCATTCTGGGCTTGTGCTTGCTTACCTTCCCCCAGGCTGCAGCCTCTGTTGAAGCCTCACTGCTTACAGGAGGAAAAGATTCCAATTCATATTCTAGATCGCTATCATCATCCTGCCATCCGAAAAAGAAGCATAGAATCATAAAACAAAACAAAATTCGCAATGTAGTTCAGAAAATTTGATCATTCATCAGAGAGACCAACAGATAATGGATATCGAACACCAGATCAGTTACCAACTTAGCAAGACGTAGTACTTGAGAATATATGTAAACTCAATGCCATGTAACACAGAAAACACTAGATAGATGCTACATTATTTTGTTCTGCCACTTATTGAGTTTATATCAGATAATTGAAGCTTCTCACAGCCTCACATATTTCTTATCCAAAGGTTAGGAATATTCGAACAAAGTTGCCACCAATTTATCCAGAAAACCTAATGATCCCCGGAATTTTGTTCCCAATTTTGAGAAGAGAAACAGACCACGAAAAAGAGCATGCCTTCCATTCTATACTAACAAATAAGCATTTAAAAGTATATAGAATTTCGAAGCCAACACTAAAGAAAAGGGAGAAACACTAAGCAGCGAAAACTCTCTTCTCAAATCTCAACCCCTCTCACCATCCTCTCTCAAAATTGAACAACATACAAGCTCAAAGAGCAGCTTCGCATCATAAGCTTAGAGGAGCGAAAAGAAACCTATTCCGTTAGACAAATTTCACGGTTCAATGAAACATGTATGATTTTTTCTAACTTGCCATATTTTATAGAGAAACCAGCATAATCAGATTGAAAAAAATCTAGGGGTACAATACACTGAGGGGGTAAAAGGGTTGCGAACAGGATGGGAGGAGGGGTTAGGAAGGTGGAATTTACCAAATCAACAACTACACCTCAATCCCAAGCTTTTTTTTTTTGACGATAAGGGAAACCCGCAGCCGCTACCCTTTTGGGTGCGCACAAGGTAAAACCCCGCTCCTATGCAATAGCTCGCAAACCACATAGCAGAGGTAACCCACACTAGGCAAGCCTGGTGCGACGAGCTTGACCCAGAAGGCAAACCCCTTGCTTTCGTTGGCAAGGGGTTTCAAACTTGAGACCTCCAACATGGAAGTCCCAAGCTCAAACCACTGGACCACCCCGAAGGGTAATCCCAAGCTAATTGGTATCACCATATAAATCCTAACTATCAATTTTTCACTATATGGGCCTGTTTAAGAGTTTGCTGAACCAAAAAAAGAAAAAAAACTGCAATAATCCAGTCAAACACCCTGTCTGTAGTTCATCAAAAGCATATCAGTATTACCAAGTTGCAGTAATCATCATACAGAAACTCCCCCAACACACACACATAGTCATAGAAGAATTAAAGAACATATTTATAGCAGTTGGGACTAACCATAGGTTGAGCATTATCATCAAATTTATCAAGCAATACTTTACGATAAGCCAAATGGCGCCACACCATCTGATACTCTCTTGCACTCGTAATCCCAGTAGCGGTCTTCTTCACCAAATCATTCCAATCAATTTTCGATCCATTAACTTGTCCCACCTCTTGCAACAGTGTCAACATCGTAAATGCTGTATACCTTCAAAACCCCATCTCACAAATATGCATACATTCAACAGACAATACGATAAAAAAAAACACAAAAGAAAACTTGTAAACAGAAAAAGATCACACCTTTGTAAAAGAGTAGACATATCATCTTCAGTAACAAAACCCCTTTTGTTTACCTTCCTTTTTTCCACCATTTTCTTTGAATTCTTGAAATTCTCTTCTCAAAATCCCAACTTCAGTTTTCTCCAAAACAAAAATTAAAGGGTTTTAGGAGAAAGTGAAAAAGAAAAACCCCATGAGAGTATTTTGAGTAAAACGAAGAAGTTGGCTATAATAACGGAGAGAGACAAAAATGGAGAGAGAGAAAAGTGCACCAGTCAAAAGAGAAAATTTGAGATTTTCAACCAAATCAAGATTTATTTTTGGGTAGTAAATGATGTGAATATCTTAAAACCAAAATAATGTTAATAATGAAATTGCCTATTTTAAATAACAAAAAATAAATAATATAAAGACTTTGACATTGTGAACTCTAGATTCTATTCTATGTTAAATTACTTAGTAGTTTCGTAAGCTCAAATATTTTATAAAAATATATTGGTTACTTCTTATATTGTGACTAAAATCCTGAGATAGACTCTGTACTATCAATAATTATTATAATTTGACTTGAACCTTTTAAATAAATTTTACATTATCAATAACCATAGTTACATGGAGTGCGATACAATTCCTCGATACATGCATACAATCATTTGGAAAGTCCCTTTGAGGGTTACTCTCACAGTATACCAATGACTTTGTTCTTAAACTCGTTTTTTTTTTTTCATATTTATTTATCCATAAAATAGATCAAGTAAGATAGATTTTCAAACATTATTGATAATTGGAGAGAAAGTACGTTTAAGACGAGAGAGGATAGCATAAATTAGATTGAAGCTATAATAATAAGAATGCGTTTTCCAATCTTTTAATTTCGTTTGTTCAGTCTTTTAATCTTGTCTGCATATTTCTTAACATAAAACTTAAATTTTAGAATACATTTTTGTTTTTAAGCAATGACTTTTAATAGAAGAGAAGTTAACTATTATAGATAAGCAGACTCGAACTCCTAACATCCGTCACGGAATAAATTATCACCTCTCAAATCCCCGATTAATTCTATGATAGAGGCAAACAGTAAATAATAACTTCCCCAAAGCTCACAAATATCAAAAGTTTATCCTTTTTTGAAAAAAAAAATTATAAGCAATCAAATAATATCACATAAATTAAAACGAAAAGAGTTTAGAAATAAAGGGAGTAAAAGTTCAAACTTTAAGGATGTATTTGATATGACAAAAAGTCATTTTTCCATAAAAGAAAGTATACTTTCCAAGCAAAGCTAATAAGTTAGCTGTGTATAGCTTTAGTAGAAGGAAAACAACTACACAATGTATCTCATAAGAAGAGCTACACAGTTCATTTGGTCAGGCACCTCGTCTCTTGTACTAGCTGTCACGACTCACGAGTTCAAATCGAGGCATCTTCATTGGTCTTCCCACTCTAGAGGGAGTTTAATGCACCGGGCTGCTATTCCTACGAAGAAATATTTTGAAGTGATTCATCTCGTCTCTTGACTCTTGCTCCTCATTCCATATTAGATGCAAATACATCTTCCATGAAGAAAATTTTCTGGTGTTCCGGCAGCTCTCTCATTTCTCCACGAAAAATGAGTTCTTGCTTGCCACCCCTTGATAAACTAGACTGCATGCAGCCTACAAATAGTTCAAAGAGCGCATATGAGATATTTAGAGATCACAAATAACGATACTATCACTACGACTTCATCATTTACATCATAAAAGAGGAATATGTTCAACCATCAGCTTATGCTTGGTGGACAAAGTTATCCGGTATTGTGTTGGTGGGGCATTGTATGTGCCCAGTGAAGCGTTTGTTTGTTGATGGAAAAAGGAATAGGTAGGGGAGGCAACATCACAAAGGATTTAACATCAATAAACGAAGGCATAACACGCAGACACTTTAACTAGGCCTCCACTGGCAGTTGAACACCCCCAACTTTGGTTGTCGTCATCTAGACACTTCAACTTGACAACTTGACACACGTGTGTCTCACGAACACCCTAACTTTGAAAATGCACATCTAGACACTTCTAAGGAGGTGCATTCTAGATGTGCATTCTCAAAGTTGGGTGTTTACAAGACCACCTTAAACCAAGTTAAGGTGTCTAGACGTGCACTTTCAAAGTTGAGGTGTTTAGTTGTTAGTTGAGACCAAGTTAAGGTGTCTATTTATGTGTTATGCCATTAACAAATGTCACGACTATATAGAGCTTAACAATACATAAATCATCCTCATGAAAACATTCATCATGCTCTTCTTGTTTTTCAGAAATCGAAAGAAAAGGAATTCATAATAGCTCCAACATATTTAAAGCTCTTAATATTTTCATACAATCTCCAAATTACCCATATAACCCTAACATTTCTTTCTTCCATTTTTCCCTTTTCACGTTTGACATAACAACTTCAGCACTTTTATCCAAACGCATAACTGCTTATTTTAAAAATAAGTTTCAGCACTTTTAAAAGTACTTTTTTAAAGCTGCTTTTATTAAGCTCATCCAAACGGGCCCTAAATTATCCAGTTAACTATTCACCAAATCACGAGTTGGTAATTCTCTCATCAGATATGTCTTAACATTGGACTTCGTTTCGAGAGGGAGTGACAGAGTTAATGGGGTGTGATCAAGTTGTGGAATGTAGATACTCGACATGGATTTCACCAACTTAAAATAAATGCTTAGGCGGGGCAGTCGTTACACCATTCGTGCAGGTCGCATGAACTTTTCAAGTTCAGCTTTTTCCCTATGATTGACAATTTCATCGAAGTCCTCATTCAGGAAAAATTCCTCAAGAATATTTGCCTCCTCCATAAGCAGAGAGAGAGACCGATAATACCAGCTAACAGCTTTTTCTAGGACATGAAAAGAAATTTCAAATGATTTTAATAGTTCATCTACAGGCATGTTATCACGGAGATGAAAATGGAAAAAATTGGAAGCAACAGTAGCTTCCGAGCAAATATTAGACATTGTACCTGCCAATGTCTCAAGCCAAGCACTCCATAGGTTCAGCTCCAGGCAATAGAAACTGTTTTCCCCCCAAAGCCACCATGTCGGATTATTTTCCTAGCTTAGCTGCGGCATCAGAAAATTCTCAGCATAATATATCCTGTGCTTGGTAAGAACAGAACATAGGTATGTGAATTTATTCCCTCCCTCCTGCCTCCCAGGACAAGAAAAGAAAGCTCAAATCCACACACATATTTCACATAACATGTCCTCGAGGTTTTGTTTCCTTTCCAATCAATGACATTACAAAAAAATTTCAACTAAAAAAATTCGAGAACAGTTATCTTTAGACCCTTGAGGTGCTTGATATGTCGGGCCACCCTTCATGTTTCAACTTACAGAAATTTCCCCTAATTGAAGTTTGCAGTTTTAGTTTTGTTCTTTTCACCAAGTCAATTTTGCTCATGCAACACAACAACAGTATCCAATCTAACAGAAAGATACTACCAGTTTTGTAACTTCTCTACTGAATCTGATGTAATGCTGAAGTTCTTCAAAGGAAACACAAAGCTGAAACATACATGGAGGACCATCCTTGGTTGTGTATTTTGGACTTTCTGGAGCAAAAGGAGTTTGAGGTGTTTTGAACGCAAAGCTATTTCCATCAAGATGTTGAAGTTTAAATGTTTAAGTAACTTGTCTACATGGTGTAATTTTGTTGAGATGTACGATGAAGGGAAATTGGTGGATTTTATAGACTCGCCATAAAATTGAGCTTCATTGTAACATTTAGACAGTTGTAAATGTCAACATGAACTAAAGTAAATAATCAAGGAATGCAACTGGAAAGTATTTTCAAAATAAGGTACAGCAGTAATTCTAGTAGCAAAAGGAACAGACAAGGAAAGTAAAGCCCTCATTGTGAATACACCACAAAAAGCAACAAACAGATCCACCCAAGAGTAAGAAATCAAGGAATGTAAAGCAATACCTTTAACGATTTCTGACATATAGATTATCAATGTCATCTTCAAATTCACGCAGAAGTTTGCTATGGGTAAGACTATCGACAAGGCCCTTATCCTGTAACTCCTTCAACAAGTCTATGGCATCTTGCATACTCTTTTGCCGGCAGACTTCATCAATTACTGTTCTGAAGGTGATGAAGTCAATTGTTCTTCGATTTTCATTCATCTCCCACAAGAATTTCACAGCCTCATCAACCTCTCCTCCAAGAGACAAAGAGTTCACGAGCGAGTTGTATGATTTAGTACTAGGTATCAATCTTTTGCATTTCATTTTATCATAAATTTCCTTAGCATTCTTTGTTCTTCCTTGTGCACATAACCCGTGAATCAGATAATCATATGAAAATGAGTTAGGCTCGCACTGGTAAACCACACCCATTTGGTGAAATATCCTAAGAGCATCATTTACATGAAGCGAAAGCACATATCCTTTAATCAAAGTATTCAAGGAAATTATATCTGGTTCAATCCCATTATCAACCATTTGCTTGAACAGAGACCTTATAGCGTCCATGTACATGTGATTTATATATGAATTATTCCTCCTACTAAGAAGCGCCGCGAAAAGAATATTATAAGTTTTAATCGACGGCCTACAATCAAATTTCCTAATGTTTAACATATGCTTATATATCATCACAGCTCTTGTCAACTTCCTAGCTTCAGTGAAATAATAAATCATCGAATTGAAAAGTTCCTCAGTTCCAATCGATGGTATGGCAAGCACTTGATTAACAATATCATCCATTTCTTTATACATATTCGCTTCACCAAGCCTTTGTACTGCAACATGGTACGTCGAAACATTATGCCTGAACCTGTGCTGTTTCGACGCCCAATTGAACAACTCCAAACACACTAAAGGATCTCTTTGCAAAACCATGACATCCCTCAGTTCTTCAGGGGTAAATCTAGGTGGAAGCTGAGACACAGCATTTTGAAACTGGGATTCATCAAGAACAGGCATTGCTGCAATTCTTGCTCTTCTATTCATCCTTTTCCTTAAAGATCTTGATGGTGGTCCTCTTAGCCATCCAGGTGCACTTGAAGAATAGAAACTAACGGGCAACCATTGATGCAGAAACACATATAGGGATGGTTTTATAGCTAAGACACCAAATTGGGTCTGAGAGAAAAGTAGTCTAGAATTTGATGGGCAGTACATTTGAGTCCAAGAATACAAATTTCTAAAACTATACCTAAAAGGGTATACATATAAAGTGTTCAAGCAAGTAATTTTACTAAAGCTAGAATCTTTAATACACAAAAGAGTTGATTTTGACCAGAAATGAACAAAATGGTGTCTAATAACAAACAGCATACTGAAATTTATACCAAATGACAGGAAAATAAATCAAGAAAATGCTTACTATTTGGAAATTCCAGTTAAAGGGGGATTTTGGGTCGATAATTGTAGCTTCAATTCATTCAGATTCTTGGTGAGTTTTCAAAATGACCCAACTCAATCTAGGTTTCAAGTTTTAATCTTTTTTGAAGTTCAAAAATGGTGTCGTCTGATAGGAATAGTGAGCGGCCAAAGATGGTGGATATTACTCTCACGAAGCAGCAGTGCGAATAAAAAAAAAAAGAAAAAATTGGGCAGGAGTTTTTTTTTTAATTAAAGGGGAAAAATTAAATAAGTTTAGAGAAGGGTCATAAATCAATTTGTCCAGAAAGTAATTTGAATCAAAATTAGATTAGAAAAATAACTCAAAATTTTATTAGACAGATTCTTCTATCTTTGTCTTTGCGATATCAGTAAAAAAAATCATATATCCTAACTTTTTAATCTTAATGAATAGAATTAATCGATATATTTTTTTGATGCGAGTACATGAAGACGTAATCTTACACCAATTATAATTTTTTTTAAAAAAAAAGAAAATATATAAAAATTTGAAGAAAATAAACATTGAACCAAACTAACTGGTCTTTTTGTTTTCAAAGATATTTTGATTTGGACGATCTAAAGTTACTGAAAACCATTTGAATCATGTAAGTACTTTGTTTTGCAGTAATAAAGGACAAGTGACAGAATCACAAGTTGGTCTTTTTGTTTAGGAGTATCAATTTGGACTACTTCTTTCTTTTATTATGCTTTAGACGATATTGTTTGGATCAATTTGCTCGTATATATAGACTAGTTTCTGAGGACGTGCTTCGCACGTGTGTTCCATGTGAATTTTTATAAATACGTTAGAATGACTAAAGTTTCATGGAAATATATATGTTAATTTAATGAATAATAAAATATAACAATTACAAAATAAGAATAAAAACTTACGCAATATAACATTCATAGAAAACTAAATTAAGAAGTATAATGGAGAAAAAAAAACAGATTTAAGAAAAAATATAATGTAGACATGAAAAAACCAGTAGATAACTCTCTGAGTTCTTATCGACTTCTTCCATATCCTATCAAAATTCAAGAGGCTTCTTCATCTACTTTAACTATAAAATAAAAATGATAGCCTAATAATCTTGGTAGGAGTTTCATGAGATAAAGAAATTCAATTTATATAGATAGAATAGAAGGAATATCAAAAGAAATCTTAAAGTTTTAGTTTAAATATTTGAAGGTTATAAATATGAAAAGATGGGAGTTATGAATATTAAGAGTATAAAAGTGAATAAGTAATTAACAAATAATAATAAATAAATGAAGAATATGAAAAAGAAAATTAAAATTAGCAAACCATGTAGAAAGAACAACTAAAGTTCTTATCACGTAATAAGCGTTTAATGAATTTAAATTTGTGAAGATAGAGTCATTCTTTAATAATAATCAAGAGGACAGTATCAATGTGTGTCTCCATTTTGCAGATTTACAACCTTTAAATTATTGAATTTCGTTATTTATCATTAAGGATAATACTTTATCCACATGAATTATATTATTCATGAGAGGGGTTAAGGAAAAAATTATGAGAAGATGAAAAATATAGCAATTTTGGTAGAAACCATTTTTTAAAAAAAATATAATTATTATATACATATAGATTATAAATGATAAATCTTAATTAATTAGATATTTAATTAAAAATTAATCTTAAGAAATCTAAAAGTCATTAACATTTTAATTATAAATTTATACAATCAAATATTTAAATATTTTATAACAATTTAATTTATAGAAGGGGTAAAATAGTAATTCAATTTTTAACTTTTTTTGGTTGATGCTTTTAGTAATATATGATATGATACTAATCATGGCAAACTATCAAAGCGATTTTTTCTTCACACTATTCAAAAACTCGAAAAATTGCCCCAATAATCTTGAAAATGAATTTTTGAACTCCACTAGTCCCAATTGGATGGCGATCATCTTCAATTCAAATTTCTTGTGAAAACAAGTTAGGAATAAACTGAACACTAAAAGATGAAGAAGAGCACAAGAAATATTGCAATATATAAAAAGTAGAGCAACATAAATGTGTAGCAACACACTTATTCTACCCTCCCTTCATTTGTACAGCTATTCTTACAAAAGCCTTTTGGTACAGTTTACAACATGATTCGGGATTGATTTGTGTTTGTTACCAACTACATATAGAAGTTTTTGTATCAATACTTAAATCTTCTTATAATAAAAAATTTAATATATCTGCTCCAATGGAAGAGCAATAACAACAACCTACTGGACAAAACTTATATTGATGGTGATCTTTTCTAGCTATGGAACTCAAAGCAACTGAGAAGACCTTGCAAGCTTGCTATGAGTAAAACAAATGAACCAACGCCTCGATGATCATTACCACACATCCCTGAGATATCTTCCATCCATTTGGAGTTTCTTTACAACAGCCTCTGCTTTGGATGAGTCCGCATTCTCCTGAATTTTTTATTTAAACACAACAAACCAAATCAGATATAACCAAATCAATCCGCTTTTTCTTTTGGGATAAAGTAGTAGCACATACCTGCTCCTGGACTATGGTATGGAGTGTACGATGTACGTCTCTGGCCATCCCTTTAGCATCCCCACATACATATAGATATCCCTCCTGAGAGATTAAACTCCAAACATCGGAAGCCTGCACATACATCATAAGTTGCATTAGAATCACTTAGCTTTACAACAATTGGGCTCAGTCTTATCACATCAGCACACTAACCTTTTCCATCATTTTGTGTTGAACATACTCTTTCTGTGACCCTTCCCTTGAAAATGCAATAATCAGCTCTGATATTACACCTTGATCCACAAAACTCTGAAGCTCTTCCTCATAAATAAAGTCCTAAAACCATATAAAGTAAGAATAATCTACCAGATAGTATAACTTATCAGACCTCTCAATATACAAATTCGCAATGGATCCGTCAGGACCTACCATTCTACGATTCCTACAACCGAAAAACAGTAAAGCAGGACCAAGTTGAGCGCCATCTTCCTTCAATGCTGCTCTTTCCTGAAAAACCACATCTGACTTATAGCAATTGCACCAGAACAGGCAATATTATTTTTTTGAAAAACGAAAAGCAACTGTCGCACCTGCAGGAATCCCCTGAATGGTGCCAAACCAGTCCCAGGCCCCACCATGACAATTGGAATTGAAGGGTCGGCTGGTAATTTGAAATTAGATGGCCTAATGAAAATGGGAGCAGAGCTGCAATTGTGACTTTTCTCCGAAGGTACTGCATTCTGTTAATTATTGGATGAGCTCAAGATGTTAGTACAAAATGTATTTGCTTTTGTATAACGAGCAAACTAATTAGAAGTGCAAGGGAACTTAATAAGAACTAGAACATTGACAACGCAGGTGTAAGATTCTTTGATTACCTTCATCCAAGTTGAACACACTCCTTTATGAATTCGGCCAGTGGGAGTTGGACCATAGACTAGTGCACAGGTTACATGGACTCTAGCGGGTGCAAATCTACAGATGACAAAAAAAAGTTCCATCAATTTAATTCACCAAAGTTGAAGCTAAGTACACTGCACTTGTATTTTGGAGATGTGTTGAACTACATTTGCCACAGTATTGAGATGAGATTACACACCGAGGAGATGATGAGATTGAATAGTAGCGAGGCTGTAAACGAGGGGCAACTGCTGCAAAAAATACACCAAGGGGAGGCTTTGCCGATGGAAACTCAGCCATTACTTCAATAAGACTTCTTTGACTTGCTACAATCCATTGAGAATACTCATCCTGAATGAAACCAAAGTCGAAGGGCATATTAGGATACCAATTTAACCTCTTGGGTTTCTACTTTCTGTCAATGGTAAGTCACTAGGCAACAATTGAAAGAAGCTGAACAGCATAACCAAAACTATTTCACCTTGCCCTGAGGAGATGCCAAGAACTTGAGCTTTTCTGCTTCACTAGGTTCAGCTGCATGGGCAGCCAATGCAACCAAAGTAGCCTGAGAACACATCATCAGAATCTCCAGTAAAGCGAGGCCAACATTAACTGTTAAAAGATGTAAAATGTATTCTACGATGGAGACACACCTTCCGCGGTGGATTCAGAAGATCTGCATAACAAGCAAGTGCAGCACGTAGAGTGCAGGGACCAGGAAAAGGTGGGGGTAACGAGCCTCCTCCAGCTGTACCATCCTCCTTGTCGGTATGAATAGAGAATATCAAGTCTAATGACTGCCCCAGCAATCTCGCAGCTTCCTCAACAGTATCTTCAGAATTTTCAGCATAAACACCCACATGATCTCCTGTTTCATAGCTGAGAATTGGAAGAAAGTGATGCATTACACGACAAAGCTTCGTACACAACCATCATGGCATCATGAACACAGGTATGCAATGAAAGAAGCACAGATACAATAGCTCACACGGTTCAGGACAAATGAAATATAAGGAGACAGATTAGCAGAACCATTCCTGGATAAGAAAACTTAGCACATAACAAAACAATTGAACTCTAACCACGCAAAAAATTGTCTTCAATAACAGAAGACAATTTTATTACAAAACGATTCATAAAATATAGAGATGGATCTAATTCTTATGGCAAGCCACTGAAGGAGGAGCCATCATACTACCCTCCAGACTTTCTCCATTACAATTAAAGCATGTCCCAAGATGCAGCGAAAAAGTTTTAGTTACATCTCCCACATGACGCAAAGAACGTCAAAGTATGAATTTTCCCTATTGTAAGATCTTCAGAATATATATGTTATGATAATAAGATAGAACACTACAAATAGAATGGAACACGTGACAGAAAGAACATCAACTGATCCACCTACTTTCGACCTTCTATAATATTTTGGTAATACAGTATCATCAATCGGACATAAATAATGTACAAACTTACGAAATCCCAGTGCCAGATATATCAAACTCCAAGTGTATACATGAGCGATCAGACTCGGGTGTGTGAAGCTCTCTCTGAACAGCCACATTGACTCTGCAGGTTTAAAAAGGGAGAACTATCTGTAACCAGCCAAAGAGTTGAAACAGAAAATAGATGGTCATTCACACACTTACTTGCATGGGTGGTGGATATCATATGTGGTATTACCATTAGCCATGCCTGCATGCTTATCCTCAAGACTCATAGTGGTATCATGGATAACCAAACGATATTCAGGAATTGCAGCTGTATATGGAGTGGCAGCAGAATTTGCATCATCCTCGTCTCTAAGAATTTGATCCAATTCTGGCCAGAGCTGTTCTCGCCTATGTAAACAAACCAC